ATTATGCACCCCCTAGTATTGGTAGGTTTAGGAGTAGGTGTGGGGGAGGGGTTATGATTAGGGGAGGGGTTGGGATTAGGCAATCAGGTAGCGACTTCAACGAGGGGGTGCATAATCTGGCAGGGGTGCAGAATTCGGCACAACACCGATCCTCACAGATGAAGAAGAAAAAAAAACGCATAGGAATCGATAGGTGGAATCGAAATTTTAATTTGACAACAAGTATCCAATTCCAGACCTTAAGTGTCCGATTCTGGAATCGGAATCGATTTTCGATTCCCAACCCTACTAGTACTTCAAGAACTAAGATTTGGAAGGTGGAAAATGGCTTTCTTGTCACTGTTCTGTTCAGTCTTTACCTCTGACCTGCTTACACTTGACTTGACCTTAAACAAAAGTTTCATCTGTTTCTGTGTAACCCAGAGTGGATTGACCTATGTGTGACAAAAACATATTTGCGGTCATACATAAATTGATTTTTGCGTATTGTAGCAGATTATTTCAAGGACACACTAACCCCCGGTTCATCTCGCCCTCCCCTCAGGTACAAGTTGCTGAGGTATTCTAAAGAACGACAGCATCTGGACGGCTTGAACAATCTGCAGTACTCTCCGGAGATCTCTCTGAGCAGCCTGTATAAGAACATCACAGTCAATCTGAATCCCGAGCTGGCCCCCATAGCAGAGTACTGACAGGCTGTGACCCCCGAGTCAAAAAATTTGATGTATCAATGCCAAATGCCCTTAAAAAACAGGAGAGAGGAGGGCAGAGGCCTGTCTAATGCACAGTTAGTTGCGTGACGGGAGTGTGCGTGTATGTGTGCGATTACTGGATCATATCTCTGAAAGCGTATTAGCGTGACTGCGTGCGTTTAATTGCATGTTCCTATGTCCATGCTGGCTTTAGCGAATCAGATCACAACACATTTCAAAAAAGCTGGGGAGTGCCAGCGTCAACAAATCAGATGTTTACTGCAAAGCCTTAATTGAATTTTATAGGCTATCAAACTCTGTAGATCCAGTCATCTGTGCTTACATTGTAGAAAGCTTGGTTTTACATTGCAACAGCACTCTTGACGCCAATAGACGTTTTGTCATGTTCTGTTTTTTTTATACATATCTATCGTTTTTTTAAAGGAAATTGTTTAGAAGACATCAATGCAGTTTAAATGGATGTATTTTAAACCTGTCCTTCACTTCAGATCGTTTTGTTCTTGTATTACGATATACATTTCACCTTGGTGGTGTGTTAGGTTAAGGTTTTTTTTTTTTCTCCCCCAAATCCCATGGCTATACAGAAGGCTGTGACAAGTTGCATGCATGACCCAGACTCCACTGTAAATATCTGGCCTTTTAAATGATGCTTTAGCTTTGTCCCCCAAAAGACGCCTGTGATTCCAGTGGAAACACTCTTCTTTTTGGCAGCTATTTGTTTATTTTGATTTCTGTTAATTTTATTAATGATTTTTTTTTTTTTTTATCTTCAATGGTTTGGGACACATGACAGATAGACAAAAAATATCAGCGATGACCATAGAATGCAGGAAACCGAATCAAAAATGACATACAGATATCATTACTTGCTGCATGCCTTAATTAATTTTTTGTTACGTGATTATTTTGTCTTAAACTTTTATTTTTTGTCATATTGAATGTTTTTTGTCTTCGCTTTTGTTAATAGCATAATCATTCTCATGTCTCGCTTTTGAAGTGCACTCCACAGTAGTGAAAGAAGATGTAATTGAAACGATAGCGAGGTGTTTACGAGACAGGTCGTTCGTAGGAAGACCTGGTGGTCAGTCGGGTTCGCAGCTGCTAAAGCCAAGACGCCCTTCGCAGGGTTTGGCATTTGTCTCGACCTGTGTGTTTTTTGTCTGTTTGTGTGTGTAGCTCTCGGTGTGAAGTACTGGGTGACGGTGCGCTCCTGTAGGGCCGAGATGAGAGAGCAATGTCGCCGTTGCTCTTGAATGGCATTCGGAGTACACTTGGGCCATGACGACTTTATGCTGTTAAAGTTTCGAGCATTACAAGCTGTTGGAAAACTTTTTGTTGGTACACATTTGCCTTTTGTATATAGTTTTAATTTGTTGGTGTTGTCGATATAACATGTTGCATTCATTTTTTGTGTATATTTTAAGTTATCATATATATGTCCTAAAACTGCTGTTTCATATCCTCTCATGCTGTATGTGTGTGTCCACTCAGAGAATTACACATTGAGGGCGAGATTTTGTCAGTGGCGTAGTTTGCGACACTAACTGGACTTTCTGACACTTAAAGTTGAGCCACACTCACACCTCACAAAAACGCTTTATTGCGCCTGCTTTCGAGGCTTTTTGTTGGTTCTTTCCATCTGCGTGTCTCTGAGGTGTAGATGAGCCATGGCTTCTCTTTGGTCGTCCGATTGCATTGTCTTTTTCTGAGTGGATGTCTTCTTAACACTAGTACGGTCTCCTCCCATTGATGGTGTCCCCGACGTGATCTCCAGTGCCCAGTCTGTTGTTTACAGTCTCTTCTTAAAACATCAGACTTACAGTTGGGTCTAATCAGACCTGTTTACTGTGGTTACGGGTTACAAAAAACCATTTGACCAACTCAGACAAGGAATCGAAGAATACTGTCATATAATATACTGAATATGATATGGAGGTTACTGGTGCCAAAGTCCACTTTTCCTTTTCCTTGTCCCTTTCGCTCTCCTCATCTTTCAGCATTGGATAGTGAAATGTAGCTCTAGGACATCAGATTAATCTAAACTTTTTGATCCAGTCACTTTGAGTGTTTTTCGACATGCGTGAGTTTGTGTATATGTGGTGTCACATTCATGTGCAGTCCAGTGTGAGAGGATTGCTGTAGAACGACATTAAGCGCAGCTGAAAACCCCCTCGCCTTGCTTTTCCACCGCACAGGGCCAACAAATTTACATAAGCAAAGTTTAGGCAAAGTTGGCGTCAAATGTGCTATTGGTTTACGCCCTGTGTTCGTGTTGAAGCAGCCGGTGAGATATAACCACTTAATAGGTGTTGTTTAATGTAAAAAAAATAGGCATTTAACGCTGGGTTTTGGCTTTCAAAGAGGGAAGTGTGGCTTATGAGCACTAGTTTCCAGAATGCTCAAATAAACGAGTATCATTCCATCTTCACAGTGCACTGTTTTTTTGTTTTGCAGGCACTTTAAAAGAGTAATGATTAGTCTTATGCTGCAATACGAAGTCAGATAGGCCTGTTACGATTTAATCATTAGCTTTTGCACCACAGCGAAATGGTTTTATTTGGATACACAGATTGGGACTGAAATTTACACATTATTCTTAAAGTAAGGTGGGTTGCAATATGAATACTGAATGTTACGTTTATTTTTATTTTCTTTTTTGGTAGTGTAATGCCAGTCCGTTTCCCTGATATTGAAGAGGGTTTTTTTTTTTTTTTTTTGTAAAACAGACCAGTGAGACTGCTCTGGTGTGTTTGGATCTGGTGGTTAGTCAGTTATAGCTTTTGAGGAAGCTTTGTTCAGTGCTGTCTGCTAATTTAGATGAATCTCATCTCATTTTATCACCCCAAACCCACCGCTCTCATAGCTGCCCCATCCTGTTCAGCTGTCTGAAAAATATCCAGAAATAGAGAATTTCAAAAGATTATTTATTCACCATTACAGATCTGTAATGTGTAGAGTGTTACATTTTTGCAGTATTCATATTTGTGCCTTGATTTTTTAAATTTAATTTTTCATTTTCACATTGTTGAGATGTGCAGTGGGGTGTGTGTGGATGGTGTTTAAAAATAAAACTGGGTGCACATTTACATTTTCTTTTACTCAAAGTTTTTATTTCGATCTGGAGCTGTGTCTTTAGAACTGAAATGTCTGCTGGTCATTGAATGGGAACTGAAAAACATGAGGATCTTCTCCTGTGTTTGTGTTTCTCTAATGTTGAGGGTCCACTTTAACTGTAACACCAGTATGAGAAGCAGAATGTCTTGAGATACCAGCTGCTTTGACTGACATGTACAATCCTGGTTCCAGATTTCTTTTTTTTTTGTTGTTGTTGTTGTACTGGTCTCTTCACTGCGTTTCGCTCTGTAATGATCATTAAAAGACTTTATAGTTGAAAACTTACTCCGAGTCTGATCTCTTTAATTGGTCTGAGGAAAGTGGGTTCAATCAAGGTCCAAAATTAAAAGGATAGTTCACCCAAAAAATGAAGATTCTGTGTCATTACTCACCCTCATGTCGTTCCAAACCCGTAAGACCTTCGTTCATCTTCAGAACACAAAATAAGTTATTTTTGATGCATTCCGAGAGCTCTCTGACGATCAAGGCTCAGAAACGTAGCAAGGACATTGTTAAAATAATCCATGTGACATCAGTGGTTCAACCTCTCTGAATGCATCAAAAATATCTTAATTTGTGTTCCGAAGATGAACAAAGGTCTTATGGGTTTGGAACGACATGAGGGTGAGTGATTAATGACAGAATTTTAATTTTTGGGTGAACTATCCCTTTAACACTTGCCAAGCTCCCAAATGCAAGTAAAAACTGGCTTTGGTGAATAAAGTTATTCAGAAGTATTAAGTATCTTAGTATTAAGAAACTGCAGCATAATTCATGGTTTCAGTTAAAGTGAATAACTGTCAAATTCTTGATGATGTAATTAGTGTGTGTGATTCAAATGTCTTTATATATATATATATATATAAGACATATTAAAAAAGTATATTTATATT